AAAGACTAAAGGACGAAAGAACGAAAGAACGAAAGGACGAAAGGACGAATGGACAAAAGGTCTAAAGGACGAAAGGACGAAAGGACGAAAGGACGAAAGGACTAAATAGTTATAGAAAAAGAAATAGGAAAAGAAATAGCATTATTATAAAACTCAAACTAAAACTTATTATAGACTTAAACTTAGAAAAGTTATAAAACTTAATGAATGAATAAAGACGTACTGTATATAACACTAACAGCCCCCCCCCCCCCCCGTTTATCAGTTCTAATTCGGAAGTATATAATACAGGATGACAACTGAAATTTTCTACTAACCATTCCAGTGATGGACAGTAAGGCAACCACGACAAATAACTTCATCATATTGATACCAATACCGTCGATTCTAAAAACCACAGTAAGATTGGATTAATTGCATATTAAACTTGAAAGACGAGAAGTAAAGTTGAATAAAGAAGAATAGTAAAGTTGCTTCTGCAATGCTCTCTCTCTATAGCTACTTAATGTCGTGAGTTAGCCGTTCACCAAACCAGATCATTCTTGTGGGTTTGATATGTGAATCTAAGTTATTTCAAGGTTCAATCTTTGAGATAGCCGCGCCTTGAGATTGGGCAGCGCAGAGGTTGTTCAGACCCATTGCCACTTACCGTGATGCATCACAATTTTTTTACATTTTGAGTCGTGTCACCACTGAGGAACAATTCTAACTTTTTGAATAAACTCTTAAAAGAACGTAAAAGAATATTTATTGTGCCTTAGTGCTATTATTCAATATATGAATCTTCGAATTTCATACACCACGCAATTCATTTGTGACTGCGGTGCATCACGGTAAGTGGCAATGGGTCTTTAAGAGTTCGATCTGCGAGTTAGCCGTGCAGGTTGTTTAAAACAAGATACAAGTTTGCTTCTTACCTGTTGATCCGTAGTATTCGTAGATATCTCATGCATTCACGATTGTGAGTATTTTGCGGGTAGACCAGCTCATATATATATGGACAGCACAAGCACTAACTATGCATGTGTCATCAGTGATTGACATGCAGACGCAAACCGACTATTTTTAGAAACTAATAACGTCGATTAGCATTTTCAATATAAAATTTTTTGTAATTGCCTCGAAAGCAAATTTTAAAAATTACCCCAAGGTTAAACGCACTTGTTGATTTGGCAAAGAGTTATTTCGTCAAACATGATAATATAAATATAAATATAAATATAATTTAAGAGAACATGGTTTAGTTTTTATTATTTCGTGAAAAATGAAATGGTCATTTTTATTATTCGTGAAGCGTGATTTGACTGTTTTTATTGTTCGCGAAGCGTGTAGAACCCCCCTTTACCTCCATTAAAATTTTCTCTTACACACTCGAATGTCATGGAAACATAACCAAAGCAATATTGGACAAATTTGATCTTGGTTTACGTTTGTTCCTCGTTAGCATTAAAAAATTTCAAGCCACAAGCAAACTGAAAGAGAATGTCTTATTTAGTAACTACTGAAAATTTGAGAGTAATAAGTTAAATAGTTTGGGAGTAATTTTAATTTTTTGAAAGCGGAATGATTTACAAAGAAATGTATAGTCATGTGGCAAGACTTACAACACAACTATACATTGTTACTGAAATTGTCTCGCACGCCAAAAGAGTGCTATTTTGCTATTTTGTTTATTTTTTTTTTCCTCCCTGTATATTATATAAAAATGTCACTTTTAGATGTCTTCTCATTTTGGTGACTGCTTCTTAAAATTTCAAGAAAAACAAGACTTGTTACAACTGAATATTTTTTTGGAAGTTTTCAAGCCAGCACAGAGGGCTTTCATCCTGGAGGTCCAGGTTTAATTAGCTTCATTATTGGTTTTAATTTATTATTAATTCCGTTAACAATTACATTAATAATTAATTTCCCGGGAAGAGAAATAAATTCAACACTTCTGTTAAATAATAACAAAATTTAATATATGATTACCAATGAAATATCTATTTTTCTCTATTTCGAAAACTTGATATCTTCACACGTGAAAATAACACCATTGCGATGGCTATTCAAAAATTCACGAAAAGAATTGCTTAAAAAGCCAAAACATACTTAATTGATAATTATATAATAAACAGAATATTACATGGCCGCTTGGAGATACGAATTTTGTCTTCTCGTGTTGAAAATCTCTCACTCGTTCGCTGCGCTCACTTGTGAGAGATCTTTTCAACACTCGAAGATAAAATTCGTATCTCCGCGCGCCCATGTAATATCCTCTATATATCTTTCCTATATAATCCGAATGGTTAAACCCACAATTCATTGATTTTAATTAAAACAATTAATTAGAAGAAATAAAAATTAAAATTTTCGGGGAAGAGAAATAAATTCAACACTTCTGCTTTATAGCTATTTAAAATGATAGATGTGTTGATCATCACTGTGAATGAGCGATCTAAGCGAATGCTGTAAAGAAAGACTTAAAAAAGTGATTTCCAGCTTCAACGGGAATTTTATTTAAAAGTTTTCGAAACATTTTAAAAATTAATGACAAAAAATATATCGACTTCTAATATTAAAATCATGACTTAATTTATTTTTGATTAAAAAAATAAAAAWAAAAAATATCACGATTCAGGCAAGGGGATCGTACGACTACAGTTACAGAAAAAGCGGTCTGTCCATAGAAGGCTAGGGAAGGTGTTTCATCAGTGCAAACTACATCCCGGATCTCAGCGACATATTTTTCTATATCCTCACTTTCAAGTGAAAATATCAATATCGTCTTTCCGAATGTTTTTAACAATTTTTCGTTTGTGAATGCATGTGTTTATATAATGAAAAGAAAATTACACGTTCGCTTGAAGATATGAAGTTTGTCTTTTCGTTTTGAACAATATTTCCACTTTTCTAAACCCATGATCATGGTCAGACTTGGCATTGACCACCTTTTGCTTTTAGCCTTGATAATTAATAACTATTCTCAGGGAACTATTGTCTTCGAAGGCAAAGTGATTGTCTGTGATATTCAACAATTTCAACGAGACAATGGCAAGGTCAACGATTATCTCTGAGCATATTCAACTATTAAATATGCTCTGAGTTAGTGTTTTATTCTACTGGGAGTTTTGAAATTGTGGTCTAGATCTATATGCTTTTATTTATCTTTGAGGAAGTCGTGCTTATTTCCAATCGTGTGACTTGAGGTGATAGCATAACTACGACTGAGCATCAGCAAACTATGCATTATGAATATGGATTTTACCCTAAGGTCTTGTCGTCGATACGAGTGAAAAACGTCTGCGCATGCTCTGAATCTGTATGCAAATTAGTCAAAACATAAGTAAGTTTGACTCTCAAACATGCCTGATAAATTACACTTCACAAAATGCCAAAACTTAGTGTCCATGCATAGTGTCCCGGCTAATTCTTTCATATTGTGTTTGTTAAGACAGTATCTTGATCTGACAAAAGTATATACTCTCGAACTTTTGATCTGAAATGCACGCATGCGCAAACGTTTTTCTCTAGTGTCCTTGGCGTCCGATTGTATTATCCGAGCTAAAGCAATTACTACTGGCCGTCTGCTGGGCCGTCTGATACCTTACGCCTTCAACAAAGAATTTAACATATTTCAAAGCAAATGATTTTAACTGTTTTGTTTTAGTCGTTATTTAAAGTAAAATATGTAAAATGGTCTATTCTGAGATCAATTGAAACTGCACTGATAAAGTACTCAATTTCAGTCATTTCTATTCCAAAGTCCCTTTTTTTGATTTTACTCTAGACGTTAGTCAGAAAATTGTTTACACGTTCGAGTGTATCCATGCTGCGTTGGCTTTCTGCTCTCTCTGCACGGCTTTCCTCCTGGTCTGTCTCTCCTTGCTTCTCACTTCAGCCTCTAATAAATAAACTCTATTCGAACTTAGATTTTAACTTGTGAATTTCAATTTCAATCCAATAATATATGTGAAAATTGAATGGGCTGAACTGTGGTGGAATAATGATAGATGTGTTGATCATCACAGTGAATGAGCGATCTAAGCGAACACTGTAAAGAAAGACTTGAAAAAGTGATTTCAAGCTTCAACGGGAATCGAACCCATGACCTCCGCGATGCCGGTGCGATGCTCTGCCAACTGAGCTATGAAGCCAATCATGTTGGCTAGCGGTCATTTTTGTTGGGTTCTTCAAGCCCCCATA